AGTTTCAACTCGTTCTTCTTTTCGCTCTATTCTTTGTTTACTTGTGGTACACAAATGTCAACGCCCAGGACGGCGCAATCTTGTATTCTATCATTCTTGACCAAATATCTTCATACATAACAGTACGGTTACAATCGTGAATGTTTCAATTGGAGCGTGCATAGTGAAGAGAAAACCATATACATACATGTAGACGCAAATGAAGTAGACTAAACGGCGAAGTCGGTTTCTATTTGACAAACTGTTTAACACGACACGAGTGCTTCAAAGCATACCTTCAACGATTTTTACACGAAGCGGAACCCATATGCGACTACTGCGGAGCAGATGTAATAGAAGAAGTCTTTTTTGAGTGTATGCGATTTGTCAGTACCAGATGCAAGCTTCGCAGAATGTCTGGCGAGATTTTCACGTCTGAGTCAGTCGTGCAGTTTACTCTATAAAGAAGCGAAAAATGGTCGGCAGCATGTGTCACAGAGACGATGAAGGGGCTAAGGACCCCGAATGGCTACAGCATAGCAGCGGCGACTAACTACCTTTCTCCCTCACGATGTAGTGCTTGACGTCATTCCCGTGGGGTGCGGAGTTCTAAGAAATAACAAGATTGGAATAAATGCAGCTGGGCTCCAAATCTCAAATAAAAAAAATATTTGAATCGATAGAGATGATTTAGCTGAGTATAACGGTATACTTCTTTTTTGGGCAAACAACAACAACAAGAATTATCAAAGGTTAAAGTTCAAAATAAGCAATTCTTGAAATCAAGATTTCTCAAAAACGACTGAAACGATTTTGAAAATTTTGATCTCATTTAATAGGAAATTCCCTTTGATTTCGTATACGTACTTTATATATATGTTGTATAGTTCTTACATAAATTAAATTAATGTAATACAAGTATAAAAAAAAGCTTACAAACCCTAAGTGCGGCCGACACCGCCTACGCAGAAAGGCGTTCTCTGCAAAAGGTGGTCAGTGCCTTTTCTTCGCAACACAGAAAGATTATTCTACGTTGTGAGGGTTATAATTCCTAAGTGCGGCCGAAGGCCGCCAACGCTGAAAGGTGTTCCCTGCAAAAAGTCTTCAGTGCCGGTTCTTCGCAAAACAGAAAGAGAGTTCTACTTTGTGAGGGTTATAATCCCTAAGTGCGGCCGACGTCGTCTACGCAGAAAGGTGTTGTCTGCAAAAGGTGTTCAGTGCCTTTTCTTCGCAACACAGAAAGAGAATTCTACTTTACGAGGGTTATAATCCCTAAGTGCGGCCGAAGGCCGCCTAAGGAGAAAGGTGTTCTCTGCAAAAGTTGTTCAGTGCCTTTTCCTCGCAAGACAGAAAGAAAATTCTACTTTATGAGGGTTATAATCCCTAAGTGCGGCCGAAAGCCGCCTATGCAGAAAGGTGTTCTCTGCAAAAGATGTTTTTTATAATTATTTTACATTAATTAAATTTTTGTAAGAACTATACAACATATATATAAAGTACGTATACCAAATTAAAGGGAATCAAATTTCCTATTAAATGAGAGAAATATTTTCAGGATCCATATATTCGTTTTTAAGAAATCTTGATTTCAAAAATAGCTTATTTTGAACTTTAACCGTTGATAATTTTTGTGGTTGTTGTTTGCCCAAAAAAAGAAGTATACCGTTATACTCAGTTCAATTATCTCTATCGATTCCAATATTTTTTTTTTTTTAGATTTGGAGCCCAACTGCATTTGTTCCACAAGCTTTTCCTGGTTTTAGAGGAACAGTTGAGAGCACCTGAAAAAACTGTTCGCTGAGTAAACTTCGACGGACTGAGCGATGCCGCTGAGTGATATTCACTTAACGTTTCGTCAAGTAAAACTGAACCGGTACAATAATTTAGTGCCATTACAAATATTAGTTGTGTTCCATCAGCAGTACGAATAGCAGGTTTGGCAGGATTTTGCAGGATTTACAGGAACAGCTGTTTTAGCCATTCATAAACCTTATGTAAGTTGTCGTGCGGGAACAGCTTCCTGTAAAATCCTGTAAATTCCTGCTATTCGTACTGCTGCTGGAACGCAACTATTGTGGAGGATTGTCCTTAAAAAATGCTAGTTTGACAATAAGAAAGGCTAGAAAAAAGCCACGAAAATAAATCCTAAATTTCGAAGCTAAAGCAGTGTTTGCATTGTTCAACTTTGCGTTCAACATTTGCGTTCAACTCAACGCAGGGTTGCACGAAAAAAAAGTTGAATGGCTAAATGTTGGCTGGCGACCAACTTTGTTGAAAGCAATTAGTTGAAAGGCCATTCAAACAAAAATTGCATGCAAAGTTGAACAATGCAAAAACCTTTTTATGGTGAATATTTCAACTTTTTTTCAACCCTGTTCTGAGTTGAACGCAAAGTTGAACAATGCAAACACACTTTAAACGACAAGGTAATAATTAGATAACTGGCAACACTGTCCATATGAATACAAATGGAATTATTTGCCCCTACCAACGTTCACGACCGCATTGAAATGTATACCAGGCAGTGATCGGACTTATCAAAATGTTGTGTTGACGATTCTGAAAAAAATGTGGTAGATTTAGGAAAAATGTGGCAGATCTCAGGTTTTGGATCAAACTTTTTACAAAAATAGAAAAAAAGACTTGCAAGACAATAAAATCACGTCTAATAATAATAATAGATTGGCGCTTACACATATGTTAGTGTTTGGCCGAGCTTCTCCTCCGCTTTGTGGCGTGCGCCTTGATGTTGTCACACAAAGCGGAGGGTCCTACCGTTTGACGCCAACTCCGAACGGTGATTGTATTTTTATGAGAAACTGTTTTTCATGGCAGAAATACACTCGGAGGTTTGCCATTGCCTGCCGAGGGACGACCGCTGTTAAGAAAAAACCTTTTTCTATTTTTTTGCGATGTTGCTTTGACCAGGGTTTAAACCCAGGTGCTGATGAGTGAAAGCGCGCACTGCTTACCACTACACCACATCGGCCGTCACGTCTCCTGACCAACAATTTAATATTGAGAAATTGAAAAAATTCACTGTTTGACAGTTTCTATTCTCCTCGCATTCGACTTTGTTTACTTTTACTTGAGAACTCTCATCGCCGCCGGGAATGTGAAATCTTGCATACTATCATTCTTGTTATTAGGGACACGAATTTGGATACGATACGATACCATATCGATATTTTTGCCATTAATTTTTACTCTATAATTTTCAATCGATATTTTTTGGAATCGAGTACCACAACCCTTATATCGTATCAAACCGTAATGTGCATTGCAAAGTTAATGTGAATAATGATACATTTGTATGTTAATATGTTAGAAAATAAAACGAAGACGTCAAAATTTAAAACTCGGGGAATTGGGCATGACTATTTTTATAAACATTTTTGTAGTAATATTTGAAATATTTAAAGTTAATTTTCCAAATTCCAAAATGTAAAGATCTGTCCTGCTTTTTTTATCAGCCGAAGTATCTGACGTGACGTTATCTTGCTAAAATTTCTATTGAAAGCTTTGTAGTTTATATTGTTTTTAAACAAATTTTTAACGCAAATAAAACATGAGTTGTAGCCTTAGCTACGGTTCCATTTCTTGCAAATCTATGTCGTACTTACTTTGGAATTTATATGTAAAGCAATATGGATATATTTTGCGCTTTAAAGCGCAAAATGTGGCGCGCCTTCAGTGATGTACTTATTAAAGTGCAAAGTGTTAATTCTTTGTTAGAAAATGAGACCAATATTCAAATTAAATTTTTTGAATTTTGTATCGATATTTGGTATATCGAGTCTTTTTATTACGATATTAAATGGGTACCCCATATTTTTACAGCGATACTTT